ATGAAGGCTTCAAAAGAGAATCAAGCTCAAGGTGTGCAAAGGCTGAAAGGAAAGCTGCGCTCCACTTAAGTGATGACAACATTTCTTCCAAGTGGTGTAATAAAAGCTAACAAGCTCCTACATGACTTGGCACCTGTCAAATTTAAACAACAGGTGTGAGCAAAATGCATTTCATATATAGACAGGTGGTTCTTGTAAATTCTCAAACAGGAAAATAGAACAAACTAAGGAAAATTCCCACTCTCAAAAATAAATGAATAACCAAAGCAAAGTAACAAAGTAACGCACTTTTTACTGTTCACCCTAAAATAAGGAGTGTAATTTCTTCACTGTTGCCTTAAAGGCAAAACAGACCAAAGGAAAAGAGCATCTGGGAAAACAGATGTTAGAGCTTTCTGCTTTTACTGTATTTTAAATAGGGATTCTGAAATCTCCAGCCTTTAATCCAGCATGCAGGTGTTCTGCTGAGATCAACACGAACTGCTGCATGCTCTTCACCTTTGAACATCAATCTTTTTCTTTAGAAACTGACATACAGCATTACAATTGAGGCTGGGGACAGCTGTTTATTTTTTTAAACCCACATACCAAACATAACAGCAGCTAAAGACCCAGCAGCTTTGACTCAAGAGAGAACTTCTTATTTTGTAATGACTCCATAAAGTTCAATGCTAAAACACTGAGCCTGCTCTGATGGGACAGCCTGACTAAGATTTAGTCAAACTGGCAGGTCTTGGCTGTGTGCACACTAGAAATAGCCACAGTTCTATAGGCTCCTATCCAGTTCAGTTAAATGAACTGCTAAGAAATAACTTAGCTGAAATTGCAGAAATCCCTGTATTAACTACCTGCACTTACTATAAACTGGGATTTTATAGACTGTTTCTTAATTCAATCAATCAAAATTGTACATAACAAGTAATTGACAAGAATAATGGATTCACAATCCTTCCAAGCAGACCTTTTGCTAGCTGCAGTGTTGCTAACGCCTGCAGCTGATACACTGAAATGGAAGCAGAGGGAGAATTTGGCAGCTTAATTACTCCAAATAGCAGCGTTTGCTCCTCCTCCTCCTGAGGCACAGGCTAATGTGTTTCCTATTGTTGTACACTGACAATAACAATCCCAGCACACAGCACCTCCCATGGAGGAGCAACCAGTTTGGGTCCCTTAGGCTTCCTCCTGTGCCTACAAACCCACCCAGTGCTAATCTCCAGGAAATGCCCTGCACTCAGACACGACTGTGTGTGCAGCTAATAAAAGCACATGCAAATTTGCTTTTAAAAGTTTGTTAAACACTGAAAAGCAGCAATTAAGGGCAGTGCAGCTTTATTTGTGGTTTAGGTTTTTTTTTTCCTTTTTGAAGGTACCATGATTTCCTTGCCAAAGTAGCTGATAATAAAGTCCCAGCCTTAAAAAATTTACAACTTCAATTTTTTTTTTTAGCTTCTTAGTTAGCTAATTACTTTTTTTTTTTTTTTTCCTTCTTTTTTCCCTTTTTTTGCTGGCAACATTCAGACACTGCAGTAGTCAAACAGTCCAGTGTAATAGATACTCCCAACAATATTGAGTGAAGTTTACCAACTTCATTGACTCTGGGCAGTGTGCACGATACATTTTACAGTCAGATTTCTCCCTCAGGAGCTAAAGCTCTGACAGGCTCTGCAGGCCACTGTTTCAACCTCATTTCTTAAAGAAAAGGGCTTAAATGTCACTCTTAACTCTGCCTCTCTTCACATCAAACAACATTTAAACTTGCTGAATAGTTTTGGCCATAGAGAAATGGCCAAAACATAGAAATAAAGAAAACAGAGAGAGTTTTCTTTTTCCAGAAAGAAAACTATTTCTGCAAGGTCCAAGTTTTGTGAATGTAGGGAGTCAGTAAGATAGAAGAAGCATACCATGAGCATCCTGGTACGAGGAAAGGCAGATAGATCACCTTACACATTCCTAGATAGCAGAGAAATGCCATAAGGGCAGCAAAAGACAACACAAATGCCTCAGCATCTTGGAAAAACCTTCACTGCATGTTGAAAGTGAACCACAAGACAGGAAACTGCGAAGAGACAGGTTCTGCCAGTTCCATGCCCTCAGTACTGCTCACTTCACTGAAAGAAGGCAGCTCACAAACCTACCCAGATCACAGCATGACTGCACAACAACGCTGTTTCAGCCTGCTAAATGTGTTCCTTCATGGAAGAAAAGAGAAGAGTAACACTCCAAATCCAGATTCTTACCATGGGGAACCCTGAATGAGGCACAGTTTTACCATTTAATGTATTTTATAGTTAGCATTTCTGACAAAAAAGCTGCAAGAGCAAGAAATTCCCATTTATTTGTAACAGAGTTAAATCAAAGGCCAACTTGTTCATTTTACAGGCCAGTACTTTCCAGCTTCGCGAGTTGGGTGTGATTAGGCACTGCAGGCAAAGAATCTGCAATGTCTGGAGGCTTATGATATATGCCAGAAACAGATTTTCATGCTCCAGCAAATACATAAATATATACATATACAGACACACACATTTATGTCTGTTGGCAATCAGTCAGCCAAAAACACCACTTGGGGTGTTTCACTCTTCACTGCTCCCCTCAGCTTCCCTTGGAGCCAGAAAGCTTTTATTTGCCTACTACAAACCTTCATGGCATTAGCTGCAGCAGTATGTTTTGGGGAAATCTATTCTAAAAGGAGATTCATTTTTTTCAGATTATTTCTTATCTCCTTATATGCACACACACGCCCTTCTAGCGGGAGGTGATCACACTAAGGGACACTAAACCCACAGCTTTTCTCCTTAGTGTTACACGGAACAAGAGATGAATTCACACTTTCCAAACCACAGCGCAGTTTGTGTTCTCCAAGAAAACAAAAAAATTAAAGCAGTGAACAAATGGTCTGAACTCACTCAGGCACATCATGTAGGACCCAAGCACAGATCCTGGGATCATAAACACTATTCAGTGCAGCAGGCAGCGCATTTAATCATACAAGACTCATAGCCAGGAGCCAGGAACTCCTCTGATCAGCTCCCAGAACAGCCTCAGGCTTAGCCCTGCAAACTACTACCTACATAGCACAGCATTTCCTGCTGCAAACAGCCCTACTGACTCCAGCAGTGCCACTCAAAGCCGGGGGCTTGAGCTCTCAGAGCCCAATTATCCATCATTTTATCCTTGCGCTGAGAAACAAGAATGAGATTAGTATAACTTACTGCAAATCTGTTATCTGGAGATTTAGACTGTCAGGCTCCAAGAGAAGCTTAAGGCTCCACCAGAGCTTTTTAAGACTTATTTTGCCTCCTAAAGGCACTTACACGGGAATGTGAAGCCACACATCTCCTTTCCATTCAGGTTGATTTTGCAGCAGCCAATGAATCATGCAGTGGCTTGCAATGCTGCAAACTCCTGCCTTTCATTCCAAAATAAAAAACAAACAAAACAATAAAAAAAAACCCAAACCTTCCTCCACCTCCACCAAAACCCACCTCCCTATGACTCCCCTTTAACCTGACACCACCATGTACTACTTTACCCTTTCACTGCTACACAAGCTGCTGAGTCACTTCATTTCAGTCGCTTGCTAAGGCAATCCTCTGATGATCTGGAGGGCTATCTATCTATATCAAGCTCCTCACTGCTACAAGGATGCACAGCATCAGCTTTCAGTGATGTACTAAAGAAAAAAAAAAAGGGATAAAAATTATTATGAAAGACATGCAATGCTTTTAGTGAAAGCAGTTTTAGTGAACAATGGATTTTTGAAATGTTTGTCTTCCCTTGAGCGATGGTCATCGCCTGCACCCATCTGGAAACACAATTGAGTGATGGGGATGGATACTCATAGCACGGCCCCTCTGAGCAGCTGCTGATCCATGCAAGTCCAAAACACAGCATTTGACTGCATTTTTTATACATTAGCTTAATAGCAAACGAGAGACTGGAAACCAATGTGGTAACAGTGTACCCCAGTGAGCCAGTGCCAATATACACATTTTACACAGCAATGCAGACGTAAGCATGATGAAAAATCACAGGAGAGTAAAATTTAAAAAATGTCCTAAAATGTGCATTTTATTCCATATCATTATACAATGTTTACATACAGGTATACTTTTAAAACTGCTCAAAAGAAAGTGTGAAAAATAAAGTGAGGCGAATATCGATTTGTAAGTTCCACCCCCTCCCCAAGCTCCACACAAATAAAATACATTTTAAACAATCTCTTCCAAATTTGTGTTTTCTCCTGAATTTATTGAATCTTTCATTTGAACATGAAAAATACAATTGAGGGAATACTCAAGCTGAAATGTTGACCTACACTTATGTAATGAGCTGCAAGTTTACAATTTAAAACCTTCATAAGCCTTTGTTTTACTATGTTGACTACATATCCTTCGTGCTACTGAAATAGAAGGCACAAAGTCCAAATCCTCACAGATCAGTAAAATGCTGATAAAAAGAAATTACTGTGCTCAACAAATCCTGACTCGTCAGGTATCAAATAAAAGCCCCTGGTAGAGCTTTTTGATCCAAATAGCACCCTTTGTACTGGATCTTTTCTGAAGATGCATCATTCTTGTTAAAAATTGTGGTTGGCACTTGAGGTGGGACTCTATCTGACACAGCCAGGATTCTCCCAGAGAATAAGCATTCCAATCACTGAACTCTCTACAAAGTGTAGGTAACATTTTGTTGGGAAATGGCACATTTAAACCATAATGAAATAGCTTAACCCGCATACAGCTTGCCCTTTTTGGTGTTTCCCTGACCCCTGCCTGATAATTGAGCTGACGTTCTTGTGACTGTGGTGAAACTAAAATAAAGACATGTTTATGGGGCTTCACGGCAAGCAGGTGTAAAAATAATAACAATGTGGTTGCTGCTAAGAAGGTTTTCACATGTTGTTTAACTCCAGTAAAGTTTGATCCAGCATCTGATGCATATTAAGGTTTTCTTCTTTGGCATGCGCCACTTTCTCTGTTGTGGGATCAGAAAATCAAAACATGAATAGCAGTTCTTCAGAGGCACTGATTCTCAGAACATGAAGGCATGCAGTGATCATTTCTAATTAAAGGCTCAGAAGGTGAGAAATATGCATGTCCATAAATACTGATACCCTCAGAGAATACATCTAGAAAGAATTTCAAATTAAGAAAACAAACAGCAAGCAATACAGCTCTAGAACTGTTTGCAGGCACATCTGTTAAGAAAATGCACTGCGAACAGATGAGATTCTTGTATGTTCTGGAAGCTCTTTGATGCAAGAATGCAGGACAAGGAATGGAGGTGGGGTTTTGTTTGTTTGTTTTTAGGTTTTTGCTTTGTTTCTAAGTAGGGCAAGAAGAAAATAATTAGGTTCTTTGGAGACTCATACTTTAAATTCAGTGTAATTCAGAACTTCGAAAGAACAAACAAGAAATTAAAACCAATCTTCTCGGGTCAAGTGATTTTTAATAAATGTAATTCTTCTACAGCTTAAAAAAATAAAAGAAGTTAGTAGCTTTATGTTGCATGCACATTTTTATAGGACTATCATTCGACACACTGACATGATACAATAAATAAGCACAATGCTATAGAACTGCATCCTACCAGAATCCAGTAACAGTGACTTCACACTAATGCAGGCATACCTTTAAACAACTGACCAGGTATTTTCAGGTGGAGCTTGCACTCCTAGCATGTTTTTTGGCGTTTTTTTTCTTTCTTTTTTTTTTTTTTTCCCTTTTTTTTTGGTCAGTGGCTTTTGTTTTTGCCCAATCCATAGTAATCCAAAATTAATGCACTGAAGTGTCCAGATAGCAAAACAGCTGTAACTAAATTTTGTGTTGTTTTTGGAACAGGAATCCTGAATACTTTCCTCTCATCCACTTTCCAGTAAAGCTCAGGGACAATTCCAACACCAACAAAAAGGTGGGTCTCTGCACAAGAAAGGCTCTTTTTTTTTTTGAATACTGCTCCTAGAGTCCTCTGAGTGTTTACTGAAGTGGAAAAAAGTTGTCACTGCCCAGCCACATTAAGTGCAAACTGCTCCTCTAACTTAGGTGTGCATACAGATAAACAAAAGCCTCATCAGAAGGAACAGTGTATTTTTCCAAAACAAAATTAGAATTTAATCCATTAATATACCATGTAATCAACGGCCTGAAAAGTCAGTTTCTATGTTTCTTGCTCATTTCTACATTTACTGATTCATTCTTGAGGAACTTTTGGGAGAAGCAGTTTTAAGATAACAATAGTCACACTACAGTTTAATCCTCATTCAATGCCAGCTTTAGTTCATTAGTTAGGCGACTGTTTTGCTCAAGTTGCTGGTAGAGTTGGTCTGTACAGGCAGCAAGCAGGTTAGAAGGAAAAAAGAGGCAGAATGAAGACAGATTAGACAGAGAAAACAGATAAGTTAATAAAGAAACTGGTCACACCACAGACAGATCAGTAACAGAAACATTTTACCTTTGCTTCTAGAATCCTAGTAATTAAATAGCCACCCCAAGGAATGGCTATTGCAGCTGGCAATGGACTGGCTACCTCTCGTCTACAGAGAACAGCTGTGCAACAAGCAAGTGTGAACAGAAGAGCTACGGCTACATTCCTGGAAGAACGATGTCCTCCTTTAATCTCGACAAACAATGCATGGCAGATTGGTTTTATGAGTGCCAATTTTCTTCGTGAATAATTCAAGATGTGGTGGAACCTCATCTGACAGCTGGTAGAAAGGAACTGTGTCATAAGCAATCTAACTAATGGCAGGAGAGATGCTGATAGCATGAACTGCCCTTGGGTTTCATTCTCGTTATACTTCTACTGTAGAATTTAACAACTGAAATGTTACTTCTAGCAGTGAAACATACGGTTATTATTGGTATAAACACACTTCAGTATCTTTAAACTGTCAAGTGGTACCTCATGAAAAAATCAACACCAAAACACTTGTGAAAATGAACAGGATGGTTCACTTTTATAGACAGAAAGAACACCCACAGTAATGTTGTGACAGTGAATTTTAGTTAGCATTCTGCAGAATGAAAGCAAGCTTTGTGAGAAGTTTTGACTATTTTTCCTCCAACTGTCTGTATCGGTCTCGACAGTTCAGATTCAAACTGCACTTCTAGCTTCTTGATCCTAAATTACTCTGCTACAGGAAATGACTGATTCTTTTCCACAGGCTTCCTAGCAGCTTTCACAACAATCCGCTTCCCCACAGAGTCTGGTCACAGCAGCTCACAGCTACAGCACAGCATGCACAGTGAGCTGCTCTGCAGAGCCTGCCTGCACCAAGTGACAACAGCTCTCTCCTCCCCGCAGCCAGCTCAGTGGGAGCAGAGCACAGTTCACATTCCTATTCTTGGACACCTGGATTTCTGTTTCTCTTACAAGGATAACATTAGACACTAAGACATACATGTAAGAAAAGCAGAGACCTCATAAATAACTTAAACTCCATTTTGTTTGGCACAATGTATTTAGTTGTTATTTAAACATGACAACAGAATTTCAATCAAGAACTTGATGCTTACCTTCATCACAGAGAATTACTCTCTTGATGTGAGGCAGAGACTTCCAATATTTCTCAACACCCAAAATGAGACTAAAAGTTTCAAGTGTGGGAAGCATTTTGTGAGTGGACTATAAGCTCCTGACTACTCTCACACCTTTGGCCAGGTCACAACTGCCTTCCTTGGAGGAAGAGCCAAAGGTCTCTGCACGGAGCCACCTCAGATAGAGCGGGGTGTTTGACAACTGGCATCGATCCCCTGGAGCTCAGCCTCAGCAGAACTACCCCTGCACACTGTGCAGCCCAGGCAAATGAAGTGCAGGAGCCAACCCTGCACTTGTGTCAACAGGACTCACACACACTACTTGCTACAGTAATGCACAGCTCAGGTCCAATGGTGGCAGGCTGCTGAAATACGCTACACTGAAAAACCAGAACAGTCAGCATCAGCAGATGGGCCAGCTAAGAATTGTGTGTGCAGCTATCTGCATAAATGCACCTTATTGCCTGTTTCTAATACTCTGTCCAGCAATCCATCACTCCTACAATGAAGACAGCTGATTGTGTACGTTTGGTGGGAAGATTTACATTAAGTATGAAGAACAATCATGAACTTTCCACCTTTTTTATTATTACTAGGCTTCTACTCTGGATTTTACTTTATTACTTCTTAAGAAATGAGTATTGAAAGGAGTTGAGGAAAAAAACCACCGTGGACACAGTAAAACAAACTACAGAATCAGAGGCTGGGCTTGCTGGAGTGTAACATACACTGGCTGAGCTGATAAGTGATGAGTGATCAAATGTCTGAGCTTTCAAATCTGGAATCAGTGTTTGACACTGCAGCAGATCCATCTAATTATTACATTAATCGTGAAAAGTTTCCTACTCCAATTCTGAAACATTTTTCATAAATGAGAAGCCTAAGCTCGTAAATCTAAGCTAAGCACAAGAGTGGAAAGCTACAGAAGTCTCTGCTCAACCTTAGATCACACCCTGCCACTCAAGAGAAACATAATGAAAAAAAAAAGCAAGCAAGCAAAATCTTTGCAGAGGAATCCAGGTGTGAAAGAGGGGAACACTTCTTTTTGCACAACATTCTGAAGCTTTTGATATTGCCCCTTTAAATCCTTGATTGAACTTACTGAACAAAGACATTTACATAAAAGCAGAAAGTCTGAATCATCAAGCTAGGAGAAGATGTAAAGAGAAAAGTCAAGGCTTAAGTGCTCGCTCAGACATGCTCCCACGACCAAGTGACCCCAAGGCAGCAGTGTCTCTGCAGATATTGGCCCAACAATAACAACTGAAAAAATTCCCACTATATTTGTCATTTTAACTGCATCATAGTTTGAGAAAGGGAGAGAGCACAACGGGTCAGCATCAACCCCAAATACCAAGAATGGTATTCACTGCTAGCACTGCCTGTGCACTGTCAACATTAAGGCAAAAGCATTTGTGGGAAAAAAAAAAGAATAGCGAAACACGAACAAAAATGAAATCTCTGATGGCAAAAAAACAAAAAAAAACCCAGACAACTTTTTATTTTTTTATTAATAACTAAAATAGCTATTTGAATAAATAAAAGGCAAGGGGATAGCCAAAGGAATACAGCTGGGATGTTTATTTTACACTTAGAGATGTAGAGTTTCTGTACAAAGCACAAAGAGCATATTCTGAAACAGGTGCTAGAAAGATAGAGCCAAGTGAGCTAGAAGACAGGACAGTGAACCATGAAACATCCAAAAGCTTGGAAAGATGTTTTATCCAACCCGATGAAGATGTCTTTGGAGAAGTGAAGCAAAGAAAATTATCTGCACAAAAAGAAAAAGCAAGATAAGGTAGGAAATAAAAAAAGTGCAGTAAGAAGTCCAAAAAAAAGCAATAACAGCACAGCAGAATCCAGCATGCCAGGATAACTACTAGCGAAATGCCACACCATGCTGGGATTGGAATGCTATAGCAATTTCCTCATGTACCAGAGGAGGACTACATTTTAAAGCCTGTTTTCCATCAGCAAATATCCCAAATGAAAAACAAAACAAAACAACAAAACCACCAAAAACAAGTTGTAACCTCTGTTACAAAGGAGGGAAAAAAACCCCATTTGTTCAAAAAGCTATTGAGCAAATGCAGATGTGTTGGTACATAAAAAGTTGAAGAGTGGGAGGGGAGTAATGAAGAAATGTATGGATTAGAAAGGGAAAAAAAGGAAAAAATAGTTAAAACATGGATGCATGCAAAACACATTTTTTAGCTCTGAGCAAAGCTGCAGTACTGCTGAAAGTGCCAGCTTCCAAAAGAAACACTGGAACTGAACTGCACACCTCACAGGCATATGAGAAAGCCACATCTCTTCTCTCCCAAGCCAGTTGCATGGGGTTCATGCAAATGAAAGGGATGAGCATGGGAAGGGGGATTTAGCATAGCCGACCTCTGTTCAGAGTTTTATGTCAATGTGGGAAAAGACGGTACGTATCAAACACCACGTGGATTACTCACACTCCTTACAAATGATCACTTTCTGGCTTTTTTCCCACCCCAAACCCTCTCTCTCTCCTAGCTAAAGCTGGTATTACCACACCTCTGGGATTTACTAATGAATTACTACTGCCCTTCACAAGATACATACGAACAAGCAGCACTACACTTGTCACCTTCCTGGGTCTAAATCACAAGATGTCTTTACCTTCCACACTTGTAATTTAGTGGTAGCAGTAGAAAATTCAACTGCAGTGGAATTCCATTCAAGCAGTTGAGGAAATTTAAGAACAATGCAATCTATTACTAACAGAGCTAATTCTAAGTCCCTCTGAAACTTTTGTAAAGCTTTGGCAGAATAAAACAGTGAAGGCAAAAGAACACCCTGTGAATGCAGCATGTGTTGAGATAATAACTACTGGCAAATTCAAAATGATGGTAAAAAAATACTTGAACAGAGGTCAACTAGAAGGATAAAGGCAGAGCTACAAACAAATGGCAACCACAGGATATAAGGATCACTGATGCACACTGATAAAACACACATGAGCTCATCGATTAGCTTACCAAATCACCATGAGTATTTACCAGGCTTGACACGGCACACCCACACTCAGCCACAGTAAATAAATGGTTCATGGTATTCTGTACATCTAATCTCACTAAGGTAATGCATCTCCTACTACGAGGAAGTATAATCTCACAAAGCCAGAGCCACACAATCAATGAGGGCAGGGAAGCAGGCACAGGCGCAAGCTGGAAAGACATTTACATGGAAGTCATATCGTTGAGAGCATGGTCCAGCTCCTCGCTGATGGCTTTGTATTTCAGTTTCTGAGCATAAAGCTCATCTAACAGTCCCCAAGGAAAGGTAGAGGTGCACAAGGAAATGGGAGTGCGGCCATGGGATGGAATGAGAGGGCAGCGGTGTGGGATACCATCCAAAAGCAGCAGGGAAGGGTAGGAACACACAGAAAGAAGTGTTGAGGCAGACAGAACAACAAAAAAAACAAAATACAAAATTAGGGAAGAATGAAAAAACAACAGCAAATAGTTTTCTGTGATTAAGTTCATTAACAGCACTGCCAGTGGGACAACCTGTGATTTAGGTAAAACAAAGCATAGAAGGGAAGGAAAATCTGCATCCTTGTCCTGGAGATTTGTTTTAACGCTCATTAGAAAGGCACACAGGAACTGCAAAAGTCAGTACTGTGGACAGGAGAGCTGAAAACAGGGCTCAAGATGCTAACTGTTTCAAGTGCTTGGCTTTCTTCTCTGCTTCCTGAAACATACCTTTTCCATACATTTTCCACCTGCCACCTAGCTATTCTTCGTACTCTTTACGTGTATGCCTGCCATGCCAAGTAATCAAACTACATGAAATCCTAGACTTGATAGAACACACTGAAGTAGTAAGCTCCAATTACCAAACTGCTGAATTATTTTCTCTGGAAGGAGAAAGCACATTCAGCTGCAGTTCTGAAAGATCTGTCCAAACTTTAAAACAAACTCCATGAATGTAAGTAAGGTGTCCTTCTCAAGATGTATACAATCTATTAGCTTTACTGAAAACCAGTAACTGTTGTTCTGCCCTGCCCTTATCAGAACAATAAATTAAGTCAGCTTGCTACATTTTAACTATGAGAAAACTAACACAGTTCTTTACCAGCTTTTTAGTAACATGACACTATTTATCTCATAATTTACCCTATGTATTTATATACTTCCAAGCAGAAGCATGTAAAGCAAAAAAATGAAGAGTCTGGAAAACACCAGAGAAAAAGGAACAGGCAAGAGCAAAACATTTCACCAGAAACATTTAAGTTATCAATGTGTTTGAATGGGAAATCATTTTACCTTTTTACTTTTTAAGTAGACCCATTTATGTAATCTGGGCAATTTAGGTGAGTAGCAGTTGGGTAGTGAATAAAACCAGGAGCATAAAAGACCTGTATCTCTTTAGTAAGCGCAGAAAACAAAGATCCATACCTTCTAGATCATCAATGCTCTTCTCCAGCTTGGTTACTGACCTCTCAGCAAATTCAGCACGGGTCTCAGCCTGGAGTCAAGATCAATACAAACAATTGTAGGAAATACACACATGCTAGTTACAAATAGAGGAGCAGCAATTCAAAGGAAGAAAAAAAAAGAATGATGAGAGGAAGTAGATTTAAAATAAAACATTAAGGTGATGCTCCTTTTTTTGAGATATCCAATAATTAACTGTCCCCAAAGGGATATGTTCATCCTTAAAGAATTCAAGTGTTTTTTATATTAAAAGAATTGTACTGGAAGATCTGTTGTACATAACAGCTCTAATTTTACCTCCTTCAGTTTGTCAGTTAGAACTTTAATCTCCTCTTCATATTTGTCTTCTTTCTGTGAGTACTGTAATTAGAAAGAAAACCACTGCTATTAGATCAGGTATTCTACATATATAAAAACACCACTCTTCTGATGGATCAACTGTATAAAAGGGAGTAATGTGGGCCTAACGAGATTAATTCCACTGCGATTGCACACACCTTATTACAAAAGCAGAATTTCCCTGAAGTTGTATTCTAGCACTACGCAGTGGAAAATGAGCAGAATTTAGCATTACAGTTTTGAAGAGGAATAGTATTTGGAGGAATTAAATGTTAGCACACAAGTGCCATATTATATAATTAATATTTAACTCTGGGCTACTTAACGGAAGATATATTCAAACAATACCAATTTATGTGGAACCAGAAGGAATGCATATTTGACTGGAAGTCCAATTGCTACTAACAAATGGCCTTGCTGCAATGCTGAAAAGTGATCAGCATATCAAACAACAAAACAAACCAAAAAGCCTATCCAGGGGGCAGCGTAAGGAACACGTTCTCATGTAAGTCTCTAGCCTACCTTCTCAGCCTGAGCCTCCAGCGACTTCAGGTTGTTGGTCACAGTTTTCAACTCCTCTTCAAGCTCAGAACATTTGCTGTTATTTCGGAAGGAAGGCAGGAAAGGGGTGGATGGAAGATTCAGTCAAGCAAAAGAAACAGAAGGAAAAAAAAGGGGGAAAAGATAGAGAAAAATGAAACAACTACAGAGCAAAAGAACGGCCTTAAAAGCAGCTGAATCCATCACAGACTGAAAGCAAACTGTTTACGATGCCAAATTCCATTTGAAGTGTGCATTTCAACAATGGCCAGACGTAAGTTATTTACAGTCCTTGGCTGACACAGAAATATTTACAAAGCTTTTACAAATACGACAGTTCAGCTTCTTTTTGGCTGCACAGGAGACCAGTTTTAAAGGTAAAAAATGAATTAACAAAAAAGAGACCAAAGAAAACAACCAAAGCAAGATGCAAGGGAGTAGAGAGCACAGTGAGGATTTATTTGCTACTGAGTGAGCTAACTGGCTATGGAAGCTGAAAGACTCGGGTTGCAGTTAAACCTAAAAACTGTTTATTAGTATCAGTACCTTATCCTCTGCAGCCATTAATGCTTTCAAGGTTTGATCCATTATTCTTAACTGTTCTTCCAGCTGTCGGACTTGGCTGTTAGTGAACACATGAAATGCACAAAAGCCATTCACAAAATCAGTGTGCAGGTACAGCATGCAGTGACAAAACACGCGCACACATACAAACACTTTTACTTCAGTGCTGACCATTTATTTCAACCATTGAAGAGCAAACACAGCCTTGAGCTGAACACACAGTGTACTGCCAATGTTTCCATGCTGTTACAGTTTCTGTCTTGTAGCACCTCACAGGCATCTGAGGGACAATTGCACTTACCTTTCTGATAGTTCAGCACGTTCCTCAGCCCGCTCCAGGTCACCCTCAATGATCACAAGCTTACGAGCCACCTACAGGCACAGGCAAACAACAATCATGGATTTCATTTTACTGCAGCCAACACCATCTGACCCTAGAATCCAAAGTGTAGGTAAAGTGCTTTAGGCTGCTCCCTGTGCCCCAAAACTGACCTCTTCATACTTGCGGTCGGCCTCTTCAGCAATGTGCTTAGCCTCTTTAAGCTGGATCTCTTGGATTTCCATCTTCTCTTCATCCTTCTGGGCTCTGTTTTCAATGACCTTCATTCCTCTGAAAGACACAAAAAAAACCCAACCCTAAAAGTTCAGACCTTGCAAGTTAACCTTCAGTTCTACCACTGACTGGAGTGTGTCTTTCAGGCAGATGTATTACAATGAATGAAGCACATCAGACACTTGATTCTTCACACCCACGATCTAATCCTGTGTATTTACACCTCAGAAGTTTAAAGTAAAAGCAGCATGAATTACAAAGAAAGAAAAGTTCATTTGTTTTAACTCTAATTCAACTCTGCCCAGAAACTCAACCACTCAACTATCCTTTTTTCTTTTAAATTCCACGAAAACTGTTCTTATAGAAAGAAAAATAAATGGTCTTGCTTCTAAAGACTCAATCATATGACTGAAGAAACCTGTTTTTCTAACATTCATCGTGAGATAGCACACTCCAACTCCTGCAGGACTGACAGATACTATGTTTATGAGAAAACAAATTCCCATGAGTTTTCTCATCTCAGAGTCCTAAAGCACTGACCTAAAGCTCTCTGCGCTCTGAGCATGCAAAATTTAAACTCCTCCATGATAAGAAGTACAGTGAATTGCCCCATCCTTCCACACAGATTTGACTCATTCTCTTCACATTGTCAGCAAGGTAGAAACAGATATGCAGAATACTTTGGATTCGTACCCAATATAAAGTACTATGAAAGTTATATAAAATATTATTTGCATTAGTAGAAGACATCTTTTAAATCCAACAAATCCTGAGTTCCTAAATGCGTCTGGAAATTCCAGCCTAAACCTAATGGAATTTATGTGATCTCTCTCCTTTGTTCACCTTCAAGCACAGATCTTAACAGCAGGAGAACCAAAGCTTCTCTTAGCACTGGTTCTCCACATAACATTTTCTAACCACAGTACAATTAAGAATCACTCAACAGCATGAGTACACATCAACTCTGTCAGTTGTCATTCAAATACAGAGGCCTGGACTGGGTCCAACAATTTTCCCAGGAAGCAGTATGATATAACAAAAGCTTATAACAAATGCTCCAGCGACCAGGCCCTGGTTGAGTTTGAGAAGCAATGTGGGCCTGGCAAAGAGCAGGATCAGGACACTGAACTTTAGAAGAGCAGACTTCAAGCTACTCAATGGATTGCTGGCCAAGATCCCCGGGCGCGCTGCCCTCAAAGACAAGGATGTTGAGGAGAGCTGGCTGCTCTTCAAGGATGCCCTCCTGGAAGCACAAGAGGTCTCCATTCCTCTGAATAAGAAAGTGGGCAGGCGAGGTAGGAAACCGGCATGGCTCAGCAAGGACCTGCTGAGAGAACTGAGGGTGAAGAAAGGGGTGTACAAGCTTTGGAAACAAGGCTGTGTCACCTGGGAAGAGCACAGGGATGCCATCCGGACTTGCAGACATGGGATCAGGGAAGCCAAGGCGCAGGCAGAACTGAACTTGGCAAGGGACGTGAAAAACAATAAGAAAACCTTCTACAGGTACATTGGCCAGAAGAGACAGGCCAAAACGGGCGTACCTACTTTGGTAAATATAGAAGGAGAACTGGCTTCAACAGATGAAGAGAAAGCTGAGGTGCTGAATGAGTTCTTCACCTCGGTCTTCACTGGTGGCCAGGATTCTAGTCTTTTTCACGTCCATGAACCCTGCATCCCCAAACCTCTATGTGGGGACCAAGGAGGTAAATCCCTCCCCACTGTTAGGGCAGAGCAAGTCCGAGAGTGCCTCCTTAGACTGAATGAATACAAGTCTATGGGGCCGGATGGCGTGCATCCCAGGGTCCTGAAGGAGCTGGCTGAGGTGGTTGCCGAGCCGCTCTCCATCATATTTGAGAAGTCGTGGCTGTCAGGTGAGGTCCCGGATGACTGGAGGAAGGGTCACGTCACTCCCATATACAAGAAGGGGAGCAGGGAGGACCCGGGGAACTACAGGCCGGTGAGTCTCACCTCCGTGCCTGGGAAGATGATGGAACAGACCCTCCTGGACAACATGCTCGATCACATAAAGAATGAGCATGTGATCCGAGACAGCCAGCACGGCTTCACCAAAGGAAGGTCATGCCTGACTAATCTTGTGGCCTTCTATGATGGAGTGACGGCATTGGTGGACGAAGGGAAGGCGACCGATGTCATTTACCTGGACCTGAGCAAGGCCTTTGACATGGTCCCCACCACATCCTCATCTCCAAATTGGAGGGAAGTGGATTTGATGGGTGGACGACCCGATGGATAAGCAATTGGTTGAAAGGCCGCAGACAGAGGGTGGTGGTCAATGGCTCTATGTCCAGGTGGAGGCCGGTAACAAGTGGTGTCCCCCAAGGGTCTGTCTTGGGACCGGTGCTCTTTAACATCTTTATTAATGACATCAATGAGGGAATTGAGTGCACCCTCAGCAAGTTTGCTGACGACACCAAGCTGAGTGGTGCGGTTGATACGGTGGAAGGAAGGGATGCCTTCAGAGGGACCTTGACAGGCTGGAAAGCTGGGCTCGGGTGAACCTAATGAGGTTCAACACGGCAAAGTGCAAGGTTTTGCATTTGGGCCGGAAGAACCCCAGGCACCCGTACAGGCTGGGAGGAGTGGGCCTTGAGAGCAGCTCGGCAGAGAAGGACCTGGGGGTCCTGATGGACGAGAGACTGAACATGAGCCAGCAGTGCGCTCTGGCAGCTCGAAAGGCAAATGGGATCCTGGGCTCCATCAGGAGAGGGGTGGTCAGCAGGGACAGGGAGGTGATTGTCCCTCTCTACTCGGCTCTTGTGAGGCCCCATCTGGAGTCGTGTGTCCAGGTGTGGAGCCCTCAGTACAAGAAAGACATAGAGATCTTGGAAAGGGTCCAGAGGAGGGCGACTGAGATGATCAGGGGGCTGGAGCACCTCCCCTATGAGGACAGGCTGAGGGAGTTGGGCTTGTTCAGCCTGGAGAAGAGAAGGCTGCGGGGTGACCTCATTGCAGCCTATCAATACCTGAAGGGAACCTACACCCAGGAGGGGAGTAAACTCTTCAAAAGGGCTGACAATAGCAGGACTAGGGGAAATGGATCCAAGTTGAAGAAGGGAAGATTTAGGTTGGATGTTAGGGGGAAGTTCTTTACAAGGAGAGTGGTTAGGCCCTGGAACGGGCTGCCCAGGCAGGTTGTGGATGCCCCGTCCTTGGACGTGTTCAAGGCCAGGTTGGACGGGGTCCTGGGCAACCTGATCTGAATGTGTGTGTTTGGTGGCCCTGCTAGGCAGGGGGGTTGGAACTACATGATCCTTGAGGTCCCTTCCAACCCAGGTGATTCTGTGATTCTGTAAAAGCTCTAGCCCACTCTATCTTATCTTTACAACCGAGACACAAACAACTACTTAAGTCTGTGTGTGCATTCTGGACATCCCTCTAGACAAGCTGTGACTGAAGGCTGTGTGACTGAAGTCCAAAGGCAGAGTGGATGATATATGCAGAGGGACAAAGGAGTGGTTTAATTTATTTCCCTAACCCACACCCTAGCAATTACCACTTTCGTCATACAGACAATCCAGCTAATCACTTTCAGGAGTAACCCCACCCACCTTTCACTCTCATCTGCAGCCTTCTCAGCCTCTTCCAGCTTCTGCAGGGCAGTAGCCAAGCGCTCTTGAGCCCGATCCAACTCTTCCTCAACCAGTTGGATGCGTCTGTTCAGGGAAGCTACTTCACTCTCAGCCTAAGCACAGAAGAACAGAAGTTAGATCATAACAAGGCACACATGACCCTCTGCAGAGGATTACCCCATGTACCCAGCAGTGCTATTTAATGGCACCTCAATGGCTTCTGTTTTCATTCACTAAAAAGGCCATAGACAGAGATGTGCATGTCTTTACGATGCTTCTTTTCTATTAAACTTATTAAGATTAAGAAACGTGCAACTTATGCACAATCCTTCTAGTCCTGCTCTCTAGCACAGTTCCCTAAATATGTTATCTCATTAGCAGACACAAACCAATTACATCCTTTCTTCCTTCCTAGGAAATCAGCAGAAACAATCACAACCCTTACATATTACCTCGAATCCATTACTTTTGCCATGTTTAGATAATAAAGACTTACAATGTTACCTCGAGTTCCATAAAAAGAGCTCAAAGTAGGAGTGCAAAAACATACTCAGATCAGCATCTGCAATGAGACAGCTTGTTCAGGGATAGCCTAAGAGCATTTAGGCACCTGAGCACTCACAAATGTGAGTTTTGTTTATAGGCAAGATACTCAGTAGCTAACAGGGTACCAGCAGAAGTTACATCTTGGAAGGGTCCTGTAGCTACAACTGTTTAAAACATTTCATCCCCCTCCGTGCTGCCACCCTCAGAATTCCCCCAGATCCACCTCTCCCGCACAACGTATCTGCTTATTCTTTCATACAATAACACTCACAACATGTCTACCTCTTATTACAAGTCTTCTACCATTTTCAAACATACAGTTCTTAAGTTGCAGAATACCAGCCTTTCCCTAATTATTCTGTTATTAAATGTTATTTCTTTCTGAAGAAAGAACAAAAGCCATAAGTTAACTATTAATCTAAATAGTTGATGTGCAAATCTGGATTTTCCAGCAAGGGGGGGAATTAAAAAACAACAAAAAACAAGGAAATCTATCCCACAAAAGTATCAGTTTGATGCTTTTCTAAAATGTTTAAGGAACTGTTGATATTCGCTTGTTTTACTACTGCTGAGGTATTCGGATACAGCTGGCTACTACCAGAATTCTGTTGTGCCCAACACCAGTAAGAACAACTTAGGCACTACAAAAGCAAAACAACCTCAGAGAGCAGTAACACTGCCACTGGAGTTGCTAGCAGTAACACCAACATCTGGGAAGCAAATATAAGTATCTGAACATTAATGGGTGCTGGGAGTGAGCACACTGAGCCAGGAGTGGAGGAGACTGCATTCCTTCATATCAGCCCCCAAATTAAATCTTCACCTAGCCGTGTAATCAAGCAATGGCATTCCAAACCTGCAGGTTTCAGGCTTTGAACAGTAAGAATTTGAACCTTCAGAGAAACAAAGCAGCAGGGGTGGTGGTGGAAATCTATGTCCTTTCATTAACGTTACCCTTGGGAAATCTGTAATAGCACGAGTTAATTATTATCATGTCAAGACTTCTCATCTCGATAAGCACACAGAATATGCTTAGAAACACTGGGTGACTAAAGTTCGAGTTTTTACTTCCTGCTCCACCACCAGTAATGTGCTGTGGGTTTCACCAACCAACCTTATATGGCCCCACTCACCCTTCCGCGGAGCAGGACTTCTTCCTTATATGGCAAGGAAGGAAAGAACCCCAGTGACATTAGGGGCACTCCCACAGCAAATATAACCTCCTGCATTTTTGACACAGCACTCAGACACCACATATTTTTACAATGAGCGATGACATGGGTATGTTACAATTCCCTGTTAATTACTACTGCTGTAAGAAAGACTGTTTTCCAGCTAATCATACAGTTGAAGAAGGAAAATCGTATTAGCAAGACAGTCACAGCCTGGTGAGACACAACCACAGTGACTTTTTGTAAAGGCAACGGCTGCTGCTCGCAGACCCCGTACTTCACTGATCTGGTTTAACAACCACAAGTTGTGAACTGTGATATACTTTGGCTGCAGTTTCAGCTTTTGCATTGTTTGCATATCTGTACCTTGTGCAGGAAGAAATAAATTAAAAAAAACCAGCAACAGCAGTAGCCAGTCACATGCCATACACGTACAGCACTGCACTAAGGGAAGGGTCAGGTTCACATCTCAGCTTGCTCGCTCCATGTTCTCACAGCCTCCCTCAGTCATGCAGAAATACAGCTGTGACAATTAAAAAATAAACTGGCAGTAGCAAAGAAGCACAGGTCTGTATGCGTCCATGAGTTCATTTTTCTGCATTTGTTCACTGAAGTGCTGATCCTCTCCAAACAAAAACTTCGTGCCGCACAAACATACTGTGCAGAATTCCATACAGTCCACGTAAACCTGCTGCAGGCAACAGACTGACACTACCCTTAAGGATGCTAAGCCTCACCGCACGGCCAGGTCTCATGGTAAGACTTCAGAGGCAAGTGGGAATCCAGCACTGTGCCTTCTGCACCCAAAGGTGTCATCAGCACTTCCCATGGCAGGGACACAGCAGCTAACCTAGTTTAGCACTACGTATGTTGCTGAAGGCGTTCTTCACTCACAGAAAGTAGTTTATAAAACAAATCCAGCTTTCTTTAAGACAGAAACCCTTACAAGTTAATCACGAAATCACAGAACTGTAGGGGTCAGAAGGAAATTCTGTGGATCTCCCCATCCAACTCTCTGCCAAAGCAGGTTCTTTACTTTACAGTAGGCTGCACGGGAAAACATCCAGGTAGGTTTTGAATGTCTCCAGAGATGACTCCCCCACCTCTCTGGGCTGTTCCAGTGATCTGTCATCCTCACAGTAAAGAAGTTTTTCCTCATGTTCATATGGAACTTCCTGTATTGCGGTTTATGCCCACTGCCTCATCCTGTTGCTGGGCACCACCAAAGAGCCCAGCCCCATCCACCCAACAGACACTGCTGAGTACTGATCAGGTCTCTCCTCATCCTTTTCTCCATACTGAACAGCCCCAGGTCTCTCAGCCTTTCCTCATAACGCAGATGCTCCAAGCCCCCATCATCCTTGTGGCCCTCCACCTGTGGGGACCCACTTTCCAGATCTGCCCCACGATGTGATGCGATACCTTGCGATGCGATCTCTCACTCAAACAACATTACAAGGCTACGTGCACTGCCTTGTGGGTCTGCTTCACAGCTGCACGGGTCAGGAGTCACACATGGTGCTCCTCTGCTCGAGCAGCTCTGAGCACTCACCAACACCAGACACTGCTTTTTTAAGCTCGCTGCCCAGAACCCGAATTACAGATGAGTTATTTGGCATTAATTTCCCGCAAACTCCGAAGATACAGTCACAAAGACCGCTCTACATTTCATAGAAAGAAACAACAAAACTCCAGCCGCCACCATTCCCCAAGGTCAGCGCTATCGGCTTCGTGCAGCATCGGGCACCCACAGCCGCATCCACACCGATCTGCGCTGCCTACACCTGCCCTGCCCAAAGCTGCGCACACCGCCGCCCCGCAGCCCGGCCGGGCCCTCAGGCTGAGCTGAGCTGAGCTGAGCTGAGCTGAGCTGAGCTGAGCTGAGCTGCGCTGCGCCCGCCGTGCCGTGGCCGCCGCCCGCAGGTACCGCCGCGCCGGGGAGCGGCTGCCCGCGGCCCTGAGACGCCCGGGGCCCTACCTCCTCCCGCAGGGCCCGCTCCTGGTCCACCTCCCGCTGCAGCCTGCCCGCCCGCTCCTCCGCGGCGTCCGCCTGCTCCTGCAGGCTGCGGATCTTCCTCCGCACGGCCTCGAGCGAGCTCATCGCCGCCATGCCCTCGCCGTCCGATCGGCTCCGACCCGCTCCGCGCCTCGCCGCCGGCCTGCGCCGCCTCCCTCCCTCCGCCCCGGCCCCGGAAGTCCTCCGCGCCGCGCCGCGCACCGGGGCGGGGCCGGCGACACCGAGCCGGAGGGGAGCGGCGCAGGGAGGCGGCGGGGCAGCGCGCCGGTCCGCGCCGGGGTGGGGCGGGCGCCGGGCGAGGCCGGGCCGGCGGGGAGAGGCTCGGCGGCGGGGCCGGGCGGCCAGGTGGGCGCGGGGGGCTGTAGCGCCCTCTGGCGGCCGCCCCGCTCCCCGCCGTAGCCCCGCGTCGCACCGGCCGAGCGGCGTAAAGCGATGCCGAGCGGCCGGCCGGCCTCCGTCCTTCGCCCGAACGGGCTCCCGGGACGTGGGGAGCGGGGCTGAACACGGAGCGCGAGGAGTTGCCCCACGCTGCCGAGGTGAGTAGGGAGGTGCTGCTCCCTCATCTCGTGCGAGGTTGCTCCACCTCGGCAGCGGCGCTCCCTGCCCTGCTCTGCCCTTTTCCTGGGGCTCGGAACTATCCGAACGAGTCGTGCAAACGCAGGGTCACTGCAGTGCCCCAAGACACTCCACGTGGCCCAAAAGCACGGCATCCTGACATTCCACGCACACCAGTAAGTACAGCCTTCTCTCCAGCCAGGCTCTCTGCCCCAGGGTGACTGCACCCAACACCCGTCCCAACGAGCTCCCAAACGCTGCTCTCCAGCAAAGGGAAACGGCGCTGGGATTGGTCAGGGGCATCGTGCTTTTCAGGCAGGGAATCTGGTAGCACTGCTCTCGCCTTCATCCCCGGCGATTCCCAAATAGTCTGCATACTTTTCCTTATAAGGAATATCTCCCCTGGATCTGTATGCGGTTCCTTTGAACGAGCCCAATAAGGGCCCTGCTAGGAAGTGCCTCTCCTCAGTGCGGCCTCGCTCAGAAGACAGACATCTGATCCACATTACACACAGAACCCCTCTCATCCCTACGTGCACTTATTACTGAGGTCTCTCTCAAAACTACACAACTTAATTGCTTTGCTTTATGGTTTGCTCTTTCAAAAAGTAAAATAAGATAAAAGCGTGTTGTCTTTGATGCCAAGTTGGCTTTAGCAACATTTCCCTTTCTAAAAGTATCCTTCCTCCACTTTGCTCTGTGACAACTCCTTAGCTTTGAGGCTGATTCTGAAAGCTGCGCTATAGGAAAAGGATGGTCATGGCTTTGGAAGCGCTGTGGTTTCACCACGTCCTATAATTCAGACCCAAGATGTATTTGGAGAGAACTGGGTTGGACTGTAGGAGCCACACCGCAGGCAGAGCCCACACTGCTCTGGCCTTATCTGCAGGAACAGGAAACTCACATCGCTCCATGTGTGTAATGCATTAATTAGATGCATGTCAGGGGCGGACAGGTGGGTGGGCTGAGGCCTGGGAGGGACACAGGCTCTTGCACTATTACCATATAAAGTGCTGAGCTATATATATCCCCAGCCTGCTCCCAAGATCCCTGTCCTCCAAACTGCAAACCCAGCAAGTATCATCTTCCAATTTCCTCTCACGCAGGACTGAACTTTCCTTTGAGATGTGAAATCATCTTCAATTTTTCCAAGAATAAAAACTAGGAGCAGGGACTTTATCTGTGGGATGAGTGAATGAGCCCAACTAGTTCCTAGCAGCAGCACTAATGCATGTATGCCTACAACTCTCCTGCAGAAACAACCAGCAGCCCTTATTCTGCATCTGTGGGACGTACAGGATGTCCCACCTGTCAGCTGTAACCTGTTGCTGTCAGCTCTCTAATTCAGTCTCATCGACTATCACAGCACTACTGTTCCTACCCAAGCTACTTTTTCCATCATCTCAATTGACAATCCACAGCAAATGGAACAACAGCAAGTACACACAAAAAGCACGTGTTGAGTGAGCAGAAACCCAATCAATGCCTCGGACAATGTGCAAATCTCATGCAAGGAGGCAGTGCTGTGTCTCCCACCTCCCTGCCCAGGAGGTGCCAGGAGCCTGAGCCCAGCATGGCCACAGAGCGCTGCCTGGTGGGAGTCCTGGCTGTCCTGTGCAGTGGAGGTGTGTGTTCCTTGTATGAAGGGGGTGGTGGAAGGGACAGGGTAACTTACATCTGTGGCCTTTTTGTCAGCCAGTTCCAACTTTTCCTGTGCATCTTTAAGGGACTCGGAGTATTTGTCCAGCTCATCCTCAGTGCCCTTCAGCTTCTTTTGCAGAGCCACCAGCTCGTCCTCCAGCTGTGACACGGGCGGAAGGTGGTGGAGAGGGGAGGGCAGGCAGGAAAAGGTGCAGCAGGCAATGTGATCGTGCAAAGGGACAAGTGCGAGTGCAGAAGAGACAGAAAAGGACAGACAGACAGACAGACAGAGAGAGAAAGAAGGAGAGACAGTTAGATTCTCTGTGCTTACGGTAAGGGCACGATACCTTGGCAGCATTCTCCTCTGCGGAGAGGAGGCTGTCCTCAGACTTGTGCAGCTCTTCCAGCACTTGGTCTCTCGAATCCTCCGTCACGCGCAATTGCTTTTCCAATTGCACAATGTCATCCTCTAACTAGGTGCACAAGAGGAAATACAATGCACAGATACATTTCTCCCTGGGCTCTGAAAAGGGGGAAGGTCATCTTTAAATCTCTCTCCTTGCCTCTGGCCTTTTCTGGGATCTCCAAGAAACTCACAACCACCATGCCTCCAACCCCCAAACTAACAAAACCCCACGTGTGCTGGGGTGGATCAGGAGGGAGGCTTGGAGCAGGCCAGGAAAATGGGACACATATCTGGAAAGAGGGGGAGCAGCTAGAACAGGGCAAGTCTGCTGGATAGCGCTGGGGGAGGGGGGCACAAACTCAGCTTTAAGTCCTTTGCCAAATCATAGCACGTCTATCCAGAGCTAACAGCTGCTCCAGGCAGTGTCCCCCAGTCATGCCCCTGTGACAAAGGCACGGAGGCCACGCAGCTGTCCCAGGACCCCTCCCCAGCAGGATGGAGCAGTGGTCTCCTGCCGGCCCAGGGAGCCTCCAGCCACGTTCTTTAGGGGAGTTTCAGTACTTCAATCGGTTCTTCGGGCAATGGAGGGGGAGGTGGGGAAGGATACAATAAGGTACGTTAAAAAAAGGTTAGAGAAAGCGATCGCCTGGAAAGGCATGTGCCCCGGCACCAGTAACACCCGGTCTCTCGGTGCAGACCTGCTTGCTCCTCTCCTCCGCTGCCTTCTTGTCTGCTTCGGCTTGCTCGGCTCTGTCCAAGGCATTCTCCTTGTCCAGTTTCAGCATCTGCATCTTTTTCTTGATGGCATCCATGGCGGCGGTGGGTTAGGGCGCGTCCCGCGCGAACTACAGCCGAAATCAGAGCAGAGAAAGCGGCGGGAGAGCCCCGATACGAATCCGAGCCGCGGCCCCGGGGAGCGCTGGGGCCAACGAGTGCGGGACGGGCGCCGGTGGAGTGCGGGCGGCGGGCGGGGAGCGCCTCACTGATATGGCCTTTCCCAGGGGGCTGACTGCATTCCTCAGGACATCCAATACTTTTTTGGAAAGGGTTTTTTTTTTTTTTTTTCTTTTCTCCCCTCCCTCCTCCGTTTGTCCCTACCCCTTTCCCTCGCTTCGCTCGCCCTCGGCTTTTTTCGGCGGCTCGGCTCTCCCATTCGCTGCCGCCCGCCTTTTGACCGTGGATATGCCTATATATGGGATGTGACGGGCGAGGTAAGGCGGGGGAGAGGTTCGTTCCTAGTTCTGAGCGGGCAAGACGGGGCATTTCGCTGCTACTCCTAGGAGGAAAAACTAAATAAAAAAAGGGGGAAGGGCGGGGCGGGGAACGGGAGCAGAGAGCCGTGCGGGCCGCTCAGGGCGGTTGTGATGCCGGGGTGGCTGGCAGCAGGACCGTGCCGGAGCCGCCCTCACCCGTGGAAATGGTTGTTTAAAAGCAGAAGGGGCGCGGGGCAACAACGGGTCACGGGCAAGCGCGCTCCGTGTCCTTCACTGCGCCTCGGGGCACGGGAGGACAGGCCGGCGGGCGGAGAGCTGCCGGCAGCCCGGGCACCAGGACCGCCGCGGTAATGCCAGCCCGGCACAACGGCACGGCACGGCTCTCTGAGGCCGCAAGCGCTTCCCGGGTCGACCACGCTTCTCTACTGGACCGCAGTCGGGTTAAAGGGAGGGGAGCGGGGACTCAGCTGCCCCGGGAGCCGCGAGGTGCGGAGCCCGGGGAGAGCCGGCACACGGATCGGCTGCTGCCGTGCCTCGCACCCTCCGCCTGCGACGCCAGCGAGAAACTGAGGCAGCGAAGAAAGACGAGCAATCTGGAGAACAATTAACAAACCACGTAATTAAGTAGAAACCGATTTTCGCTTGTGGCTGATGTCTGTCTCCTTAGCACGCCGAGCAAGATGCAACACGCTCCGCCGGCACCACGCACGCTCCTTTATACAGCGCAGGAAGCACACGGACGTGCACGAGCCCCGAGGATTTGGTTGCACAAAGAGAAAATGAAGCAGCCTCTTTGTCTGAGCTCACGACTTGCACCAGAAAATTCCTCCCTGGTGCCGTCATCGGCTCTGGTGAGCCGATGTCACCGCGGCAGGAGGGCTTGTGGCTTGCTGGACTTGCAGGGCAAATAGGGGTAGCGGTCGGCAAAGCAGGCCGTGGGGCGGCTCCTGCCCACGGAGTTACAGCGCAGAGCTCCGGCTCCGTGCGACCAGATAGCAAAGCTGGGTTCTGAGCACAGGTCATCTTCCTCTGCCACCGAGAACGGCCTGCGGCACTGACCCACACAGCGTTCACGCGAGCTTACAGCCCGTCTCCAGGACGTATGTGATGTTAATGCCGCTGGCAGAAGAGAAGCTTTCCTATTCCCACTCCTAAGATGGTTTCTTACTGTATTCCCTAAAAAACAGACTCCTCAGAGTAATAGTAACAGTAATGATGTAAAAATAGCAAGTAAGATCTTTCTGGAGGGTGAAATTCCCACTTTTCTGCACAATCCTTATTCATTAGTCCTTACTGGTTTAAAAAAAAATACTGGTTAAACCTGCCTACATACAAACAGCAGCACACAGGCTGTAAGTGTAAAGAGTAAAAAAGAGTAAATGTAAGAGCAAAAATGCCAAAGTACTGACAAAGCCTGCAGATTTATTTGCAGCAAATGCTTAAGCATAGTTTTGCTCTTGTCGCTTATCTTGCTGTTACTGTATGGCCAGTTACAACACAAGGGCCTTTTTAAGTGCTTTGAATATTTAAAAGGCATTTAGTTACATACTAAATTAGTTACATACTAAATTAGTTACAATACAATCAACAACTTGATTGTATTGTTAAATACATCAGTGTTTTGTCCGGAGTTGAGGAGAACTTACTCCACCGCCACAAAAAAATCCCTTTAGAAGTGCATTGTGGCTGGGAATCCAGTGAGGCAGCCCTTTGCCTTTGAGTAAGCACATGTTGTGAAATTAAACAAACAGTGTCCTGTCTGGCTCATTTGGGAGTGGTGCTGATAGGCTCTTAAAGAATTCCTGTGCAGAGCCATTTTTCTACAAGAATGTTAACGATGACATGGGAACCTCTGGGATACATGAGAAAATATGATATGGGGAAGAGGAAAGAAGATGGAAAATGATATGGCCTGGAAGATGCCACCACCACAACAGCAAAACCAAATCCTGAGGCCCCATATGCATGAAAATGTCCAAAAATAGGCTTGGTTTAAGTCTAAGACAACTCTGCATCCACAGAGCTAAACTGGCTGACGTTTTTGTTGTTGTTTTTCTGTGGTAGAGAATGCGAAAAGTATAGACATATGTAAGCGTGCCTGCTTTACCTTAATTAACAGTTTGAATTGCTTGGAAATTTCCAGCTGGCAAAAAAAGATAGGTTTGGAAATCAAGTAGCTTGTATAGTCACTCCCTTTTTAATTGGGACGTGAAGAAAGACTGTATACAAATTAATTTTGTATACTGAAAAAAGAAGGCAGCACAAACCTTGTGTCTCTGACAAAACATTACTTCCCCCACGGCCACCCCACCACTGCTGGAGCTGGCTCATCTCTTGTTGACAAGTGGTGCACAAACACCCCAGCAGCAGTTTTACTCAGTTCTGCACCTCCTACACTGGTTTTGAGTTCTGTTTTTTAAATCAGGCTCTTCTGAACACCAAGGCAGCCAACACAAAGAACTGGCAAAACATATACATAAGCCATATAGGCATACATCCATATACATACACTATATGTAAGTGATGTGGCACTTCAGGCTTCCCAACAATATTTTGTTTTCCAGGATGAGGCCAGAATCTGCTTCTATCGCGATGTTCCTGCCATGCCATAGATCTCTTGACACAGGCAGAATTTGCCTTGAGAAGAATCTGCTTTTCTGTCCACAGTTGGACCAGCTGAAGGCATTTCTCAACAGAGATGCTGATGGCGTACGGATGGCAGGTGGACTCACTTGGAAAAATCCTTCAAACAGACTCTTTCTAAAAAATTGGAGTTGCCTCTTTTTTTCTTTTTCCTTTTTTTTTTTTTTTTGGAATATGCAGGAAGTGACACCTGACTTCATGCTGCAACTGGTCCTTCCAGTTCTGTGAAAACATGACTCTTAAAAGATGATGAAGGATTCGAATTAGGTCAGTCAGAATGAACCCATAAGACTACACGTGTCAGGAGAGTGTTCCCCCCACAGGGAGACAAATAAAGTACAAACATTTTGAAAAAGTTTCCGAGCCCTTTGCAGCCTTTCTAAAAATGGAAGGTTTATTTTGGATGAAGGGAGAAAGAGGACTTGGCTTATCAGTAAAAAATGGGAAATAGGAAACATCTGTGTTTACCTGGAAAATAAATTAAAAAATGGTGCTCGATCAATAAGTAGGTTTTACTACCACAAGTAGTATATATTTAATCCTGTAAGGATCTCAAAGAACTTTGCAGTTCTTTGCACAAAGGGAGCTGAGGGACAATATTCCTACAAGTGTAGAAATGGCAAAACTTCCCTTGAAGAAACTGGTCATATATACTTAGCCATGAGGCAACAGAATGGCTTAAAATAGAATGGAGGAATCCTGCTGGTCAGTGCTCTGCAGCTCCCAGTGGGCAGCAAAGGAGTACAGAAATACCCCTGAACATGCCACTCACACTTGAGAAATGACGCTGTATCCTTCTGAAGGCTCTCCTTAGTATTTCTGAGCTAACTGTGAAGAGCGCTGCGGCCTTGGAAATTAAAGAACCGGGAGACGATCTGTTGGAAAATAAATCTCTGAATTCTTCTAAAATCCTTTTGACACTCTTCCCATTCAGAACTAACGTGTTTCTGTTCAGTTTGTCACTCAGCGAGGCAACTCCACTAAATCTGTGAACTCCTTAAGGGTAAAAGTATTTATAGTACGGCCCTCTGCACCTGCCCTGATCTGTAATGCAAGGGTCTGTTCAGATGCCACTGCAAATGCTAAGGAGCTCATGACCTAACTCATGACCTAAGGGTCCTAAAATATCTCTGAGGTCTTTTTCTGCACAGCTCCTTTCACTCTAATTCCCTTTCAGCTGAGCAAATTTGAGTCTCCCAGTATTTTGCACTGTTTTTTATTTTGAATTGGGAAGTTTGCTTTAACTGATAGCTACCAAAACTACCTTAATTTTCTGGAAGTAATAAACAAGAATCAAGTAACACAGACAAAAACAAACACAACAACAAAACAAGGAAACAAAGAACCAAAAAAACCAACCACTTTTGTTAAAGATGTTTTCCCACACCCTTCTTTTTAGAGGTTCAGATAGTTTTAGGCTAGATAAAGAAAAGCAGTTTCTTTCAAACTTACTTACTTACACATTGCGGAGCTTGTGCTCCGCTCCGTTAAGTCTCTACGGAAGTCACTTAATTGAGTTCAATTACATTCATCTGGTTCTTAACAAAAATAGTCTTGCAAAAAACATCCTATCCGTTTCAATTTAAAGCACGCTAGTGTGGAAGAGAAAAGAATGCTAAGGAGGAAGGTCACAGTAAAGAGCAAGTCGTATGTTATGGGGGGAGGAATTGTATCTGGCTGTGCCAAAATGCTCAGCCGAAAAGAAGTGTGGATCAGCAGATCCAAAAGGAAGTAATTTGCTCCTGGTGAAAGGGCCCACTCATAACTTTATGTGGACACAGACATGGCACTAAATACAGTGGATTTCCTTCTGAATTGCACTGTATCAAATGATATCAGATTCAATTCTGCTGAATGCAAGGTGAGAAAAAAGTTGTTGAAATATCCACTGTCCTGGACAGTGCCTTCAATAAATGTAACTCCATCCCTGTTAAGCAGCCCATCTGCCAGAGCTCTGAGCTATATATAGATAAATACACCATTGCTGTAGCATCTACTGCCACATCTATGTGATTACAGAATCATAGAATTACTCAGGTTGGAAGGGACCTCAAGAATCATTATAAGTTGTACCAGAGTATAGCTTTGCAGTTTTGTTGGAGATTCTCTTCTGGCAGAACAG